TCCATCGGTTGCTGACTCCATTTCTATGGTACTTGATCCTAACTATGCTATCCAAATGATACTATCCAAATCAGAAATTGTGGTGATGGTCAAATGAACAAATCTACTGCAAAAGAATACATTAGAACTTTCAAATTTGCAATAATAAATTTTACAATTTTTCCAATGAAATTTTATGAAATGATAAATTGTTACATTTTATATTTTTATTTACTCTATTTATTTATTCCTTTACAAAATAATATTTAAAATGTTTTTAAAAAATATTTTGTTAATATAAAACCTTAAGGAATATTCTGCAATAGAAAGCCGATTAAGCTAGAAATTCTTTTTTTAAAAATTAATGAAAAAAATGAAATTCTTAATTTTTTAGTTTTTTTGCTAATTATAGAAATATTATTAGTTCTAATGAGATTTCTGCAAAAGAAAAATATAATTAAAAATAATGAGGCTTTAAATCGATAAAAGAATACAGAGATTTGTTGATTTTACAGTTCTCAAAAATTTTAATACGTTGCAAATAGAAATCACAAAAATGGAAAAAAATTATAGAATTCATGTCACTGGTTTGGCTTGTGTGGTGATAAATAGAACGATGATTTGCAAATAGCTAATTTCTTTTCCTCCATTAAAAGAATTATTTTAATTAATAAAAACTTATCAAAATGCCAAATAAATTTTATTCGTTCCGCATCAAATTAGAAAATTTTCCTTCAATTAATCAATTGGATGGCCTTTTTTTGCGGACAGTGATTTAGCACGAGTGAATATTCATAGTGAAAGTCAATAATTTCCAAAGGAATTATCCAACACTGTGGAAGCACAATCTTGTGACAAATTTAAGCGAATTATCAAAGCGAATTAATCCAATAATTAAAAGAAAGTTTTTTGGTAAACTTCACCCTAAATAAATCGCTTAATATCGATTCTACCATTTTCACTTCCCTCGGCTGTAATTTCCCAGAAAAAAACTCAAAACCTTGGAAAAATCCATTGATAAAACTGATTTTCATATTTGCAAGAAAACGTTAATAAATGGCCAAAACCCCAACAAATCCCAACAGCTTATTCATTCACATCGTTCACAAAATTCTTTATTTTTAAATATTTCAACAGATATGAATATTGAAAACGCCAAGAATTACTAATTATTATACGCTTTTTTCATAATATTTTTATTTATTTGCCATAAATAAAAAAATAATTTTGATGTTTAATGTTTGTTTTGCAGATTTCCGTTTCTTGGAGACAAATTTAATTCTTTAATTATGATTAATTCTTTAAAATTCTTTGTACGATTTTGCGATTAATTCTTTTGGCCATAGTTACGGGCGAAATCAGCGGTATTTCATATTAATTATTTAAATTTTTTTTCTGTGATTTTTTCGAAAAGAAATTTTATTTTTACAACTTTTTTTCTAAATTTCTTATAAATTTTTTCTGATTTATTGATTCAAATAGTTTCATTATTGCCAAAAATCATTTATCAATTTTTTTGCTAAAATTTCTTCGACATGAAGAAAAAACAGTTAGCGATTCGGAAATCACCCGCTCTATTTATCATCGTGCAAGCCGAACCGATGGCATAAATGAATTCTGTATTTTTTTTATTAAGTAACGATTTTGCATAAAGAGAATGATTGGTTGTCAGAAAATTGCAGTTGCATGTGAGGACGATACAGTGATTATGGAGTTCAAGATAAACCGCTATCAATAAACGTAAAACGCATATAGGATCATTTTAAAAAGTTTGAAAGCATTTTAGCTGTTTCTAGTAGTGCACTCTTCAGTTGAAGCTATTCTTCTCGTTTAAGAGTCACAGTTTCAAGTGCTCCAATTATATTTTGGTTTTCACTTTTCTTCTCCGGTATTTCTCTATCTTCTCATACTCTTTCTAATTTTCCTGTCATTTGGTAACGCTATATCTATCATCAGTGCTGATTTCTGATTCTTCTCTATTACTACCTTATCTGGTTGATTGGCTTGTATTTATTGGGTTATCTGGATGGAGAAGTTCCACATGATCTTCGGCTCATTATTTCCTATTTTCTGAGGAATCTCTTATCTAATCATGGGGGATCTAAGATAGATATTGAGCATAAGTATTCCATTAGATGTTGCTAGCTGCTTGGTTATTCTGAGGCGTTTTTGCAAAATCTATACCTTAAATGCTGGCCAGTGTGGTAGAAAGCAGTCTTATTTCAGGTGCTTAGTAATGCTCTTATGCTTGCCTTCTAATCCAGTTTTTTCCAACCGCAGGTTGGATTTCTCAATATCAGCTACCTCAGTTGTCTGCTTATGGTACAGCCCATGTAGGGTCTTGCCTTGCCATGGTGCTTCTTCTGCTGTTTATCCAATGTTGTAAATTCTTCCGACATTCAGCAGCTCATCCTTTGGTGTCAACATTATGGTGTGTTCTTGAATGCTTCGAGTTTTCATGATAATGGCTTTTACACTCAACAAGCCTCACCAGACTTGCCTTATTTCTTTGAATGTTAGACAATTTCCATACATTGTGGGGAGATTCCAGGACTTCATGTAAGCAGCATGCCTTGCTTTGTCCATATTACAATGCCAGCTGCATATCTCATGAATGGCCAGGCGACGCTTGTGGCATGGATTTTGTTCTTCACACTGAGCTGGCTTTTTAAAATTTATCGTATTCTTTTGCAATACATGAGCATCGCATCCTTGCCTTCTCATCGTGGTTGCCATGTGACTGTGGGATTCTAAGGTATTTATAGTTAGCCTGTATGGCTGTATATTCTTATGGTAGGTCCACTCGATCAGTAATTATAAACAACTATATGATTGGTTCAACCAAATTTTATAGAAATCTCTCAAAGGAAGTGCCATTTTTTTAAGATTATTCCTTTACTTTCGCTGATTTTTTTAGATTTTTATCCGTATTAGCTATTTAATCATTCATTTGCTTTTTGCAAGGAATGCGTATAGTATTTGTTGGTTTCAAATTCTTCAGAATGGTGTTTATTCGAAAAATTCATTCCACAATTTAAGTTTTATCAGTCTTTCTACTCATGTTTCCAAATATTTATTTTTCATGAAATCTGAGATCTTTCCTTATATTTTACTTAATTACGTCCGCAATTCAGTGCACTGTCAGCTGCTTTTGGGTAACAACCAGGAGTGGGAAGGATTTGGGTCATTGTGGTAATCAGAGCGGAAAGGGCAGAGACTCGAAGACCCACTTGTAGTCTCGGTCGATGCAGATCGAAGCAAACATACGACTCGATCACATGTCACTCTTATTTATATTATTTTGCAGATCAACTATCACTGCATCGAAACCTTATTCAATGTCTCTCATGATCTATTTCTATAAAATCATTTGAGCTTAGAGAAACAGTTTACACTAGGATTTTATTATAAGTTTACTTCTCTCAGGTATGATATAGTTCTTAATTATGACAATGATAAAATTAATATAAAATTTGACAAATTATTGTTAGTTCTATAAAATTAATTAATGCTATGCGAAATTATTAGTGATTATAAGTAAATGGAAGTTCGGTAGTTGAGCAGTCACCGAATGGAATGGAACCTTTGAGCCTTTGGTAATACTTTGCGCTAAAGTTATATATATATATATATATATCATCCTTTCCATTATATATTGCAATACATTTCTTTAGCATTTGCTGTATTTTATATCAGTTGCAATACTTATAAATTATTATTATATTATTATATCATTCTCATATTTTTAAATATTAAAGCGACTAAGAAGATATTAGCCATTGTCGTAAATAATCCGACGAACAAATCCCGCATATTAGAAAATATTTTTCGTTCCGGTAAAAGAATCGACATGGAGCTTGGCTTGAATATCTCAGAAATTGGCTTATTAATATGCAGTTGGGCAATAAGTCAAAAATCCTCAAATTTTCAACTATATGTCCAGAAATGTGGATCTAAGCTTTGATCGGAAACCTTCCTTATAATGTAACTTATGACTTTCGCTTACGCAGTTAGAGTATAATCTCTGATATCTTCTTTTCTCTCTTAAATTGAGCAAACCAATTTATTGAGAATGAAGGTGGAGGAGGTTGGTTTCGCCTTTCAATTCGTTCCATGATGTATTCGTCCAAATTTAGAAAATATAGTTTAAATTCATTAAAAATTAAAAGAATTAAGCGAAATGAGATCGAATATGAGAAAGTATTTGGCTTTGCTGGTAGAGATTGTAGTGGGTACCACGATTTAAATAATAGTGTCACTAGAGGCCGTGGCGTAAAGTTGCGTAATTCTTATTTTAGAAACTAGATTAGTGGTTAGCAATTTTTTTAATTCATAGTCCGTGGAAAAAATTACTGCCATCTGAAGTAATTCACTTCTCCAGTGTTTATCTGAAAAATAAATTATATAATACAAATTCAGTATAATTCAGTTTTAGTCATCACCTTCATTATTTTTTTTATCATTTTTATCACTATTCTTTTTATCATTTATTATATTTATTCTCATTTCTATATTAAAATTGTCACTAATCGAATCGAATTTAACATTTTTATAAATATATTATAATCAAAATATTGTTTGCTATCGTTTTTGCCAAATTGCTTTTTTTTCAATATTAAAATGAATTCGAGTTATCATATCATTGTATATAAATGAAATTTCATTGTTATTTTAATAGTTTTATAATTTTAAATCAATAAAAATTTTTGTTATGAATTGGTGAGAAAAACCGTAAAAATGCGCTTTATATAAACTGGTTTGCCGTTGACCACATTTTTCTTTTAATGATCGACATTATTTGGAAAATTGGAGTTCTTCCTGTCGCTTTTTTTTAAAGCGATTTATCACAGCTCTGATGCAGTTTGCCTGCCTTAAATTCAACTATTAAATCAGTTCACATCTGCGATTTTAAACTCTAATAATTTAGAATCAAAATCGAAGCGTTTGATCATTCGATAACGTTTCATTTTAAGGCTTTATTTAAGTGATTGCGATTTTACGTCTGATAACTGACGGCCGCAATGATGGCTTCATTATTCTATGAGGCGATTGATGCAATACGTGATAATAATATTACACATCTTGAAAAATTATTAAAACAAAATTCTGCTTTAATCGAAGAGAGAATAAATAAACGATCTCTTTTACTGTTTGCTATTCTCCACGATCGACTTCGTGCATGTCGTCTTTTAACCAGGTAATATTTTTAGAATTTTCTTGAAAATAAATTTTGTGATTGGAATTTTTAATTGAAAAAGATATGACAAATGAAAATGGCAAATATTATTGTTAAAACATTTGCGAAAATTTTTTTTATCGACAAGCTAACACAGCGAGCCTTACCGGAGGTGGTGAGACCGCTTTTAGAAGAAACAAAATTTCTTATTATTTTATTTTTGATTTTATCTATTTGTACAGAAATGGGGCAGGTTTCATGGATAAAGATGAAAATGGAACAACAATCTTTCACTGGGCAGTGATCGCGGATGCTAGAAAATGTATTAAATACATCCTTGGTTTACCACTTCCTATCGATCAGTCATCATTGATAGTCCTCAAGAATAATCATCAAATAACTCCTATCCACATGGCTGCACGATATGGTCGCTCCAAACTTCTTAAAGTAAGCTTTTTGTAAATTTTTCGTACTTCGATTTAGAACTTGAATTTAAAATCTTTGAATTCTGAATTGTCTTGAATTCTTACAGCATATTTCGCCTTATATCTGTACAGGGATTATATAAAGAAAGGTCGGGTTTGAAATTTCAAAGAATTTAATATGTGCTAATGTCACATTAGGAGTAGCGGTTGGTGGTTGATATTTTCTTTCAGACCCTTCTTACGACAATTGCCGATCACGAAAATTTCTACCTATTTGTTAATGATTGTATAGGTCAATCGCCTTTGCATTATGCTGCTTCATACGGTCATGAAGAGTGTTGTGAGATACTTCTAGATGATCGCTTAGGTCTACCTATAGATCAAAAGGACAAATTCGGTCATACACCATTTATGTGTGCCGCAGCTAGTTCATCTCTTGGAGGTAAACGATTTTTCATATAAAAGATGGCTGACACTTTTCAGAGTTGCAGATTAGTTTCTCAGTTTTTTCTCAAAATCAGAACTTTTAATTTTAATCAATCAATAGTTTATAGCTGATAAGATAGCTCGATTATTGGGAAATCGGAAAAAATTTTCTGCGACGGCTCGTGATAATTCCGGTCGAAGCGCTTTACATTACGCAGTAATCACTCATGATATCACCTTTATTGATGTTATATTGGACGAACTAATGTGTCCAGCCGAGGTCTAGTCACTTCCACCAAGTTGCCTTTAATGTATTAAAATTCTTAATTATGAAAAAGCTGTTTAAAAAAGTAATAATAAAGGCAACTAAAAAAGAATGGTATTGAACTAAATTAAACAATAAAAAGGGAGTTTAAATTTCTATTTCAGTTTTAAAAAAATATTCTTATTGATATTTCAGATTTTCGACAATGATGCTAGAACACCATTACATTATGCAGCACTCCAGGGTAAGCTTAATGTTGTTAAAAGGTTATTGAAAGGCAAGGCTCGTAATGCAACAAGAGATTGTTATGGTGTATCACCAGCACATTACGCTGCACAAAGGGGGTATATTGATGTTGTTGATTGCATACTCAAATCTGCTGGAGGTGTGGTAAGTATAATTCGTATTGCTTTTCTTATATCCTACATTTTCCCACAGCTTTGTTTAAATTTAAGGCTATATTATATAGTTCTTAGGAACAATTCGATAGTGATGGTCGATCATGTTTCATGTGGGCAGTAATTGCTGATGAAGAAGAAATGGTGAACCATTTTCTTTCGCTATTTTCACCAGATCGATCCCATCACGACAAATATGGTTATACAGCATTACACCATGCAGCTCATGTAGGTAGCGTTCGTCTAGTCAAATTACTTGTGAAAGAAGGTTGGGATATTCACGTAAGTTATTTTTAAAGATAAAAATCAAGCCAGTTCAAAATTTCTCTAATTTTTATTCTCAAAAAGAAAATTTGTTCAGTTTTACTTGATGCCTCGATGATCACTTAAGGATGTGGATGTCGTTGGATCGACACCACTACATTTGGCTGCAGGCAACGGTCATACAGCTGTAACACGTCTGTTAATTATGATCGGTGCTAATGGCGAGCAAACAGACAGACAAGGACGGTATGTTTAAATTTCCAATCTGAATGAAAAATAGTAAATTTTTCGGCAAAAACTCATGAGTTTTGTAATTTTTGTATATGTCTTGCAAACAAAAAATTTTCACAGAAATAAATAAATTCAGTTTAAGTTAAGTTCGAAGTAGTGATAAATTGAGATTAAGGTGTTAACTAGCTTTGCGATTCCCTGAATTTCCCTCCCCCCACCATGATATGCAATTATTCATTTTTTTCCTTTTCAGTACTCCTATATTTTATGCTTGTTTGGGTGGTCAGGCCCATACTTTGAAGGTGATGTTGAATGAACTTAATTGTAAAGCTGAACATACCGATAAACTTGGTCGAACGGCTCTGCACTGTGCTGCATTTGCTGGATTTGCCGCATGCATTGAAGTTTTGCTGGAAGAAACGGTTTTTTCCACTTCGATTTTCTCTGCTTAATCTTGAAATTTTATAGATATCCACTGTCACCTCTTATATAGGTTTCTTCCTTTTTATGCAACAGTTTTCTCCTAATTCAATTATAAGAAGATATTGGAATGAATACAGTAGTGAGGAAAATATGAAATTTTTCCTTGATGTATATACAGAACAAATGATTTAAGGACTGTCCAGTCTATCAAGAAGACATTGACCAATTAACTGCTTTGCATATAGCTTGCGAAAGAGGAAAACTTGATTGTGTCAAACTTCTGGTAAAATATGGTGCAGCTGTAAACACTTTATCGATGGTTGAAGATTGGACGCCATTGAGTTGTGCGCAAATCAATGGCCATCAACAGGTTTTTATCATATAGGCTTATAGGCTTGATAAGGCTTAATCAATTTCAATACGCCAGTGAATTGCTTTATGTTGTATTTACTCCAGTGCATACGAGAAATTTTTTTCTAAGAGCATTCATCATTTCTGGCTAAACTAGCTTCGCTGGTTTGTCGAAATCGACAAATTCGCCAGCATCAAGTTCACTTCTCCCAGGAATAGAACGACAGCAATGGTGCTCCAAAATGAGGACAACAATTCACTTAAATATTCTTTCACCTAAAATAATAGCTTATTTTTTATTATTCTATCATTAAATAAGAACAAAATGCAAGTTTAATGATCATTTCATCGATAGAACTCTTTTAGAAGCAATGATTGTATCGATAAGGATGCAACATTTATTTGTGATAAAACTAGGTCATACAAGGCCGTAATACATTCTTTTTTTTTTCTAGATTGCTGATTATCTGATGCGTAATGGTGGGCTTTTTCCCAATCAACTAAGAAATCTCGCGGCGATAATTATTCAAAAATGGTGGAGATGTTTTAAAAAAAAATCTGAACATGCCGAACAGTCATGCAAATTTTTGAATACATTTAAAAAAGATTTTTTAAAACCAACGAAATATTTATAAATACGCTGACTAAATCAAAAAGTTTCTCTATTATTATAGTTATTTTCTCGCTATATATTTCAATTCTTTTTAAATATTTAATAAAAATTTCAGTTGGCAGTGGTGCACCATTTTGATTTAGCTATTTGGGCGCAATTAATAAGTGCATCATGCAATATGTATGCAGATTATTTGCATATAATATTGAAAGCCACTGGTTCGATTCCAGTGTGAAGTAGATTCCAGCGATTTTTCCATTGACTCGAATTAATTATGAATCTCTTGGCTTATCACCAATTTTGGCCATTGAAATCAATCAAGCAGGCCAAAGGCTGACAATTCCTTGACGGTTAATATATTAACGGTTAATATATATAAAAAGGGAATGCATAAAATAGAAATTATATTAGATTAATAATAAAACGGCAATAAAGGAAACAATATAATGGATAAAATTATATGATCTAAATAATTTCATGTACGATCTTATTTGATTTCATTTGCATTAAAAGTAACTAAATTTGGATTGAAAAACTTTTAGCCTAATGTCTACAGGAAAGGTATTAAAATCGTTCTTGATTTATTCATTTTTATGCTGAATTTTTGAAATATTTTTGCAAAATTTGCCTGCAAATCCTTTGTGCTCATCTGAAAACTTCTATAATTATTCTCAGTAAAAGTATAGTAGCCACGATTGTTCATCATTTGATCACTTTCAAATACATACAACCTGGAAAATGAATGATCCTCAACTGAACTACTTGGACACGCAAAATTACTAAATGGATAAAAGAAAACTAAATGCCAATTTCTGCTCTTTCTTCTTTCATGTAATAAAATTATTTGAATCTGTAGTATAAGCATTTTTTTTTCAAGCACATGGCACATCCATTGTTAGGCTTACTCGGCTATCTTGTCAGAATAGATAAATTTCACCAAACAGCGATAGAAGTACGAATGTATACGCATTAATGAGTCTACAGAAATAGTGTTTGCCTTGATAAAAATCTTTAAAAATGCTTATACTCTTTAAAATTTAAAAAAAATTACTTGAGATATTCATTTATCGATTTAGTAATATAATGATTTTTTATGAAAATTTTTATGCTTTGAAATTTTAGAAAAAAAATTTATACCATTTTCATCAGTGAATTTCATGTTTTCTTTTTTTTATAAATTTGTCATTTATCATTTTAGTAAAAAATGATAAGCGACAATATTTTCACTAAAACGATAAGCAATGTTAAATCTAAAATTTACAATAATCCGAAGCGAATACATTTTGAATATATAAATTAAGCAATATTTATATCGCCTATTTTCAATATTTTAAAGTATTGTGCTAGGTATATGAACGTAGAAAATCGTAAAATTTGCGTAAGAATGATAATATAAGGTTGTTTGAGAGTTAATATGATCGAGAATCATGATAAATAGGTCATATATCGGGTCATTCGTATAAAATTTAGCGAAGTCGGTGTATTGCACGATTGAAATACATTTTCTTATGTGGTAAATATATCAGTGGAGTTGATATATCAAAATTAACTGGTAGGTGAATTGTGTATCAAATATCAAATATTTTATCTTATACTGTCATATAGCATTTCATATTATTTCTTGTTATTTAATTAATTTTAGTTGCAAATTTTTTCTTCTTTCTTCTAACAGCTCGTAATATTATTACCAGTTTAGCTCACTCGATAGGCACTTTTACAGTAAGACAGTTCTAAGCCTCATTATCACTCCAGGCTCTAATATATATAATTTTTTTATATAGCTTTTTTGTATTCATTGTTTTTTTTTACTGTAAATTTTGATTTTTGATTGTTTAAACTTTGCTAAAAAATAATAAATGAATGTTGGCTATCGAAAAGACGGTTTTATTTTTTGATTAATTAAATAATTCAAACCATATTTTCAAATTCGTCGCTGACAGTGATTTCTTAATATTTGATGCGGTCATGTATTTTATTTTATTTTATTTATTTATTTTTTATTGATAACCAACCAAGCAGGGCGACAAGGCCATGTGCTTGTATTAATAATAACAATTAAGATAACAGAAAAAGAAAACACAAAACAAAAAAAAAAATATATATATATATAACATAAACAAAATTAATTATAAAACAATATGACAGAAATTAACAATTTAAAGAGGAAATTACAGATCAATATAATATAGTACAATTCGAGGTAACATATATAACCTGAAGATAAAATCGAGATTTCTCACTTCCTGCAGTTCTTGCCTGGTGTAAACTCTTCTCTTTTTTTTTTTTTGTTTTTAAATAATATCGTAAATGATATTATCTAGTCTTTTTTTAAAGACAGCTAGGGATGACGCACAAGCTACATCGTTCGGTAATTTGTTCCAGTAGTTAATAGTACGAATAAAGAAGTCATGGGTCCTTAGTTTAGTTTTGCATATAGGTTTTAGTAATTTTAAGCCATTAGTTCTTGTTGGATTCAAATTTAGTCTAAAGTTATAATATTTCGAGCAATCTAGTTTAACATAACCATACAGAATCTTATATGTGTAAATTAAATCTTGTTTAATTCTACGAACTGAGAGAGAATCCATGTTATGTTGTAGAAGTGTTCTTTTATAATTAAAATTATAATTTTTATTAGGAGAGAGGCGTCTTAGAAAATATTTTTGGAGTCCTTCGATTATTTTGCCTGTTTTGCGATGTCTAGGGGAGTAACATATAGTATTGTAGTCAAGAAGAGGCCGAACGAATGCTTTGTATAATTTGATAAGAAAACTTTCAGTTTTGTTCTTAAACGAACGAAAAATAAAATTTAGTATCTTTGAGGATTTCTTTACTATGGTTCTGCAGTGAAGATCGAAATCGAGATTTTCATCCATGATTATTCCAAGATCGGAGATGTATGAGACTCTATTGATTAAATTACCATTTATAAAAAGGTTAGGAAGATCGAATCCTTTAGAATTGATGTGAAGAACGCTACATTTTTGAAAGGAAAGGGTAATTTGCCTGTCGTATAGCCAGTCAGCTATTCTGTTGAGGTCCTTCTGCAGTGGAGATAGGCTATCCGTTCTACCATGAGAATAATAGATTTTACAATCATCAGCATAAAGATAAATAGTAGAATTTATTACCACTGTGGTGATATCATTTATAAATAATAGAAATAGCAATGGCGCAATACAATTGCCTTGGGGAACGCCTGATTTAACAGGTGTCATGTCAGAAAGAGTGTTGTTAACATATACAGCCTGGTAACGATCTTTTATGTAATCTGAAACCCAGTTATAGAGGTCCCCTGGTTAATCATGGTTAATTTCAAAAAAAAGAGAATTTAAGAGAAAAGAGAGGAAGAGAAGTTAATTTCAAAAAAGAAAGATTTTAAGGAGAGAATTCCAAATTATTTTCTTTTTTTTGCTTATTCTGATTTGAAATTATTGCTGAGCTTCGATTTTCGCTTATTTAACAAATTTACCTATTCGCGATTTTCACTATATCGGAACCGAGGTTTGGGCGAAATTTGCAAAATTCGCAGATGCATAAACCAAGAGAAATAATTCAGAAAATAATTCATAATAGTGAAATCATTAATAAGAATTATTTACAATTTGTAATGTATTCCTTTTAAAAAAAGCGCTAGGAGCGCCCACGTGTCGTCGTTTCGGTACAACCACGCATATCACGTATATATGAAAAATTTATTAGATGGACTTCTTTAGTTATCGGTCAAGCTAGAGAATGATGAATTTAGGGGCTCATTTATTATTAGCAATTTTTTAAAGTTCATGGTGGGTGGTCCTTCCTAATTCCCCACAAAATTCGAAGTACAAAATGTTGAATGAATTTTTCTGGTGAATTAATAGTGAATTTTATAATTAGTGAAATAATCATTAATATATAAGAAATGGTGGAAAACGAGCAGCAAGGAATGAAACAACGAAACACATCTCAAAAGAATGCTGAGGAGAAAAAAGGCATACTTCGAAGCCTCTCATTTCAGGTATTACCTTTGCTTTCCATATAGACGGATTGATACTGTTCGATTATGTGATCCACGAGCGAAATATCATTGCCATTTTCTTCTCCTTTTTCTCTTTTTCCCCTTTCCTTTCTCATATTTTCATAAATATATAAATGTATATAGTGAGTAGAATGGCGCAGTGGGCTGTTCCTCTCACTTTGCCATATTCTGGAATTCTACACTGAGCAGAAGAAAACCTGTTTGCCTTTAAACCTGTCTTTCGAAAACCCAGGTAACGCTGGTGACCTACCTGTGCTCCTATCGCCAAGCAACTCTGCAAAAATTTGTCTTATCAGAGATAAGAGGAGCGATCTTAACCAGAAATGTTGAGCGCCCACAGATATTCATCACAGTACTATTGTTTCCTTATAAATGATTTGTTCATATCCCATCTCTTAAATTTTAAAAATGATTTCCTCTCACTTTCATTGTCGTTAACATTACGGAAACCGAATTATCAAACAGATAAATATGATAACATTTTTGCATTTCTATCTCAGCAGAAGATAGTTTCCTTTAGTACCAAAGCACAATAATCTACATCCGATTTCTCTAAAAAGAGAGGAAAAACGATGGAAAAAAAAGAAAGCGCGTATATCTTTAGTTCAGTACTTCTATTGGCCGTGTTAAGCAAAAGATTTCGGATTGCCAGAAGCGTTCGAGTGCTCTTTCAACGACAGATATTGAATCGAATCTTAGAAGGTTGCCAACTTATGGATTGAGTTCTGGTATTCAACTTCATGGTATTTTACTGAAACAAAAGAAACGGCGAAATCGTACAACCAAATGGAACAAAAGGTACGTCGGGTCGTCTCTGTCAGGCGCGATCAGCATATATTCTATTTTCCATATAATTCATATATCTTCTAATCCTTCAACGACTATATAGCATTTTTATTGTTTTTGAAGCGAATTATTAATTGACAAATTTACTGATTAGATCTTGAAATTTTAAAAGTTGAAAAAAATTTTTTATTACTTGACATATTGAAAAAAATATTTTCGCATTCCATTATATTGATAATAATTGATAATATAACAATTTTAGCCTTAAAACCAGAAAATGCCAAGTGATAAGAATTAATGAGATGAATGACTATAAATTATTGAATTCATCTCTATGTTAATATAAAAAAATCTCTAATTTTTTCGAATCTTTGTGATTATCAACGGAGCTATTCTATTTAAAATAATTTCTAAAAAGCCTTTCGTTTCCCATTCCGACTTTGCACATAAAATTTATTGCTTATATAGTTATGGGGGCGCAAATGGTTGAGTCGTTGCTTCGGCTTAGCGCAAGTAGCATGGGTTCATTAAATCTTCATTCAAATTCATATGCTAACAACAAGAAAAATTAAATAGTTTCTCAAATTTTTTGCTTTTTATACGATTAGCAAACAAATCGTTGAAATGAATTAAATTTTCAGATTTTTTGTTCTGAAGGAGTGTTTTCTTCTTTATTACAGTGCTTCAGCGAAAAAAACATTTGAAAGAACAAAAGGGATCGACCTTCATCCTAAGGTTGTAACATTTCAATGTTTAATGGACCATGTTAATCGTTACTTTATAGGGCATTATACCACTTGTTGGTTGTTCCATTGTAGCAGGTCAAGACCACGGTCATAAAAATTGCCTCCTTATCACACATGCGCAATTTAAATCGGCAATAATTGTTTGTGCGCCGGATTCGAAAACACTGGAACAGTGGCAAAAATCATTGCGAGAAGCATCCAAAATGTATGTTTCGGTTTGAAATAAAATTGAAATAGAAAATCGCCTGGTAAAGTATTAAGTGTAAAAGGTTTAATAATGGTTATTATTACTTAATTAATAATAATAATTAATAATAATCAATAATAATTACTAGTAATAATTAATAATAATAATAATTAACAATAATAATTGATAATAATAATTAATAATAATAACAATAATAATAACAATAATAATAGTAATAATACATATATATATATACTGTTTTCTATTTTTGTTATTACTAATTTTCGCCCACATCGAATGAAAGAAAAATTTCTAAAATATTTTAGCTATTCTCAGAATTCACAATATTCATATACTGTTCATCTTAAGGTAAAACTTGCAAAGCAGCAAGAATTCTATAAATTTTTTCAGATCATATAAGAATACAATTGCATGGGAAAATCTTGTGGAAGAGCTGGAAAGTCAAGGATTAATGTTAAATGAAGAAAAGAAAAAATATGAAGAAAAATTGGTTGCTGAAACCCAGGCAAGAGAAGAAGAACACAATAAATATTTGGTTAATTTTTTAATCAATTTACAAAAAAATAGATTTTTAATTCGTTCTTATTATTTTTACTATTTTAATACCGAAATATCCAATCCTATTTGCTCTGTTATGTTAATAGAGATGATTGAGGTTTATAGAATGGAAGCCATAATCCATCATTGTTTCCTGAATATGTTAGAATATTTTAGTATTGTTGATCGGCTTGAATATATATTGCACTTCCACAATCTTCATTTTATTTCGTGGTTATCGTGCTTATAAGCAAATTTAAGATATCAATTAATTTTTTTCCAAAACAAATCATCAGTGATAGCCGGAAAGTCTTTAAAACTTCCTCTGAAAATATTGCAGAATCTGGAAAAGGTTAAAGAAGAACTGGAAAAAGAAAGGGAACGACTAGTTAGAATTACTAAGAAACTAAAAGGCGACCTTCAAAGTGTCAAAAAGTATGTTTACTCAAAATACTTCACAAAGTGAAAACCTGAAAGCTATTCATAGAATTACAATTTTTTGTTAACATTTGCTGAATTTATTATTGCAAAATATTTTTAAAATTCTAAAATTTCTAAAATATAAAATGGTTTTTTAGCGAACTAAAAATAACGAATGAAACGAAAAAAACTTTGGAACAAGAGAAAATTTCATTGAATGCTAAAACTGAACATCTTGCCAGTAACATGGAAGTATGACAGTTCTTTTTCTAAATACAATCTTCAGAATCTTAAAAAACCTATTGAACTATTTGTAAATAGTTCCAAAGTGGATACTTATAATCAAAAATTCCATAAATTTCAATTCCATTGATGTAACTATAATAAAACAAAAAATATAGTAAATTTTTGATTCATTAAAAAATTTAGCTTTAACTTAAATTACGCTTCTAGACATTGAATCTGGAAAAGTCGAAAATTGAAGAACAAATGTCAGCGATAATTCGAGAACGAGAGCAATTTCTTCTTGAGAATCAGAATCTTTCAACGGCTACATGCCAACTAAAGAATCGTCTCATGGAAATCGAAACGAAAACCAATTGCTTACAAAGTGAAAAAGAAAGAGTTGAAGCAATGTATGATATTCTTTTTTTTTTTTACTTCTTGACCAACTAAGATGATAATTTGTAATAATTTCACTCTATTCAATTTTTGCCAGAGGGTCATTTGCCATTTGAAAATAGAATTACTTCACTATTCACTAAGATACTTCTTATAATCGCAGTATTTCTGAATGAATCAATCACAATCTCTTCTTATTACTGTCCATGTTATTCGTCCTCAGTCGCAACAACAAAGGACTACTCGATATAAATTTTGTTTCGATCCAATTTGTAGTTATCAATCTGAATTTCTTAACTTATATTCTTTTAAAATATTCTTGCGAATTTAACAACAAAACAATAAATATTTTGCAGGCTTCGTTTAAATGAAAAAAAAACAATAGATTTAGAAAGGGAAAGGGAATATTACAACAATCAAACAATGGAACTTTTGAATTCGCTTAAAGTAATCTGAAATTTGAGAATTTATAAATTATTGTTGAGTTTACAACAATATTTGAAATATTAATTGGAAAGATGATTTTTATTAACAAATGATAAAATTTACTCTATTTTACGCTAAATTTTAGGAAATAAGTGAACAACGTGATATAACCGAAGCTGAATTAAAAGATGAAGTTTTGGCCCGTATTGGTGCTGAAAAACAATTACAAGCTGCAGAAAAAGCCTTAGAACATCTTGAAATGGCGTTAAAATTAACTGGAGCTCAAATGAGTGAACTACAAGAACATATTATGCCAGATGTGCATAAACTAAGAGGTAAATATTTGCCAGCTCCTTTTTTTCACTCTCACAGAGAATCCAAAATCCAAAAATTGTATTATTTTGAAATCCTTTCTTTTCCTTCCGATTCCAATGGTCAAATAGTCAAAAATTTAATAAGAATCATCCTCTTTCAGCTATCCTATTTGATGTTAACAGTGATGTAATTTCTTCGCTTTCCTAACCTGTAATCATCATCATCCTCTTCATTCTAAAAATTGTGACAAACTTCTCTCATATTTTATAGCCTTTTATTTTTCACTCGTTTTCAATCATTTCTTTTCCAATTTAGAATTCTTCGAAAAGTGTGCAGAAGAAGCAAAACTGGAAGCCAACAAACCCATGATAATGCGTAATGCAATTTACGCACGACGATCATTAAGGCGTAATAAAACGAAAATCAGAGGATCATTTCGAAAAAAACCCGCATCCATAAATATAAAGGATGAGACAAAAGTGGATGCATCAACATTAATGCACCTATAACATTTTATTAAATATATGAAGCGATTTACGTTCTCCTAAAATAGTTAACAATGAACATACCGAAATTTTTTCTGAAAAAAATAATCTTTCCACAAAAATATACCAATGAATGAAGCAACGAAATTTTTTGTTAATTTTTGTGAACGTTGCTGATAAAAATTTCAGCTGATAAAAGGGAAGTGAAATAAAAATTAAAATTTTCGCACCGAGAAACCATTTCCATTCTGCTAATTAAAAAAGAAAATAAAAGAAAACATAGAATAAAAGTTTAATAATGCAGAATGAAAATGAAAAATATTGCGCAAGGGCAAATTTTGTAAGTGCATATGTTTTCGACTAGTAGTGATTTTCAAAAAAAATTAATCGATTGTGAAATGGGCAAAAATAAGACTGCAATACAGTTTCGTTGTAACAAGACAAAGTGATTTTAGATAACAAGTCTAGGTTGAAACAAAAATAATGAAATCTTGCAACAATATGATAACGAAAAGTTAAAACTGCCGAGGTAAAAACAATTTAACGACAAAACTGTATTTCTTTTTTGTGATCTCAAATTTGTGGAGCATTGTAGTTTAATGGCCAACCAATCCATTTTCAGTAGCATTCATAGCACGAAACGATATGTCTATCACTGGCTGAGGCAATGGATAAAGTGGTAATATTGTTTTAAATGATTGAATATCTTTAATTCTCAATGATTCCTGCAAAAAAAAAAGATCATTATTACCTTTAATTTTTTATTGATTATGAAAACAAGAAATTTGCGCGATATAATTTCTGCCGAACTGAACTAATCATTAAAGAAAAATATTGAATGAAATGGTTTTAATTGGTGAAGAAATCAATTAAAAGCATTACGGATTTTATTATTAATACGGATTTCAAGATTTTATTCGACTAGGAATTTTATATTACCACGAAAATATAAATTTCCACGAAATTGTAAAAGAGAAGTTTTAATTGAAATTAGACAAGAAAAAAAATACCGGTCCATCACCAGAAGCAGTTCGTTTCACGCGGGTTTTCTTCTTGAGGTCATCCTCATCCGTAGAATTGTCATACACAAGAGAGCAAAATTTCCGTCGTTTCACCGCATTAACTGCTAAATATTTATCGAAATATTCAATTACATCCGCTTTTTGCAGTTGACGAAGTGCTGGCACCTCAGTTTCTTCTGAAAATACAGATAAACCCTCATTTTTTCTAAGCATTATATTTCCTTAATTGACTGCATATAAGTTAATAAAGTTGGCAAAATCAGCAAACCGCGATTAAAGTGATAGAATCCTTGGTCGATTTCTGACCAGAAACGATTTGCTTTGGCACGCAAGGTCTTTGGCTTTTCCAAGCGCCTAGCTGCGAGAGCTTCCACATTATCTAAGAATTCTTCCTCAGGCATTTTCTCCACATCTAACTGGAAATTTAAAATAATCAGGAATCGATTCAATTTGAGTCAAAAGTATTCGTAAATATTCAACCAATTTCTTTTAAACAATTTTGTTGTATAATAAACTGCGTGCATATGCAGGATGAAAAAAGTACTCTGAATTCAGCGAGAAAATTTTCAATTCTTTCCTCCACAAATTCTGGGTCATGTTTTCCTTGAACAATTAATTGTAAGGCTTGTGTTCCATGGCTTCTACGAATACCCGTGTGAATCATGTAACCTATAAAGTGAAATTCAGAACAAATTGTAGCCAAACAAACTCAATTAAGATAAGAACTTCACTTAATTATTTAATGAATTTTTTTCCTCTTCCTCGAAAAATTAACCGTGAAATTAAAATGATTTAAATTTATATGAATACCTAATTGCTCAATGGTCCGTAGTTTGTTAAAAGCAGGTTGACCTGCTAACTGTGCAATTAATTCCAACAATACATTATTTCTTGTATTTTGAACTCCACATTGCAAAATATAATCGATACAAGAATTCGGATGGGTTGTTTGGAAACCTTTGTATACAAGTGAGCGACCTGTAAAATTTATAGATTAAGACTAGAAATTTATAGATTAAGAAACTAACTCATATCTGAATTTTCTATGAAAAATTTACGAAAAAAATCGTCGAGAAAACTAAAATTAACTTGAAAAAGTTATGTTTCAGTTTGGAAAACAATACAGAATCTGTAAAATAAAATCACAAATACCTCTTAATAGTTTATGTTCTCGGTTTTTATGACACTCGGATGGGAATAGAGGCCTTACATCAGCGATATTTTTAATGATCCCTAAGACATCATCCACTATGGAATGCGCCTCCTGAAATTGGATACGAAAATTGGATACTGCATAAAAAAAAACTTAAAACAATTTTAAAAATCCCAAAATTTGAGGTGACGATTACTTCTTCAATACGATCTTTCTTTCTTGTAATTTTATATGGATCAAAATAAAATGGAATTTTACCACATTACCACATTACAATCAATTCATGACTTGGCACATTTCTATCATCATTACCATTTTATTCAATGTTATTCTACTTTATTCACTGTTGAATAATAATGATTTTAAAAAATACCTCTTCTGTTTTATTCCCATATATTAAAACTTCCAAATACGTGGCTTGAAATGCTTCATTGATAAATTTTTTGAGTCGTCCGACATCACATCCTAATAAACATAATTAATTTTATGACAAAAATCTAGTTTGCCTTTCAACTTTATTTTGATCTGCCATTATGATCACTGAATATCGTAAAACAAATGAAGTGAAAACACGTACTATTCGCGCAACTTAGAATTTGTTCTTTCGTCCACTGACAACTACTGAGTAACATTGATGTATAATACTGTGATTGTATATAGGGCTGCGATTGCCGAAAATTCCGTAGATTACGACAAAAATTTTCTTTGAGTATTTCAAATCTCTTTTCATCTAAAACTTTCAAAAATTTTGCTGACAATAAGAAACATGCGCGAACATGAAGAAAAATACAAGAAAACTTAACAATTTGGATTAACCATAAGTTTTCAGGAAATAAATTTAAATGATTTACGAAATAACAAATAACACTAATCCGAACCTGGAATAAGAGTTATCAAACGCCGAACTAGATAATTAATGAAAAGCCGCTGCTTTTCATCATAACCTGACACTTTTACCAAAATACCCCACGGTTCCACTTCAATATTGCTGGAAAGGCCAGCTAAATATGGATTATAAGTTTCTTCAGCCGTTGCATCCTGTAGATCAAAGAAAAATAGCTAAATGAATATAAAAAACAACGTTCTGATATTTTTGCCCATAATAATATCAATAAAATTACTTCGTATGAATTCCTTCGCAAACTATAATATGAAAACTATGCCTTATACCACAATTATAATTTAATCAATCAATTGAAAGCAAATAATGTTATATATACAAAACAGAGATTTTAATGCAAACCTGCAGACAAACAACATACATTGCTGCCAAAAAACTATTCATTGGGTCCGCAGACATCATAGGTGAATGCAATGCTAATTTTGCAGAACATTTTGGCAGTTTGAACTCATTGTCCTGCATAAACCACACACGCGACCACTCATCATTTCTAATTAACCGTGGAGATGCACTAAAAATGTTATAGAGAAATAATTCATCAAATCTTTTTTTTCATAATTCGAAAAAAGGTACATTTATATATTATATAAATATAATATTTGATACTGTGTTGTTTCCTCCCTTCTTTTTAAATTAAATTTCGTAGCAATATATTCATTGCTAAGAGGAAGTTTCAGCGTTTCCGGTACCTTTTTGATGGCGGACTGGCACTTCGAAATAAAACTCTAAAAAAGTATTTGAAATTCAGAAACAAAAATAGAACAAGAGTAGCTAGAGAGTTTGCAAAAATTTTTGATTAAAATGACGATTTTTTGCAGCACATGAATGAAATAAAATCGATAAAACAAGTGAACAACGAAATCCACTAATTTTTCTGAGAACTAATTTTTTTTTTTAACAAATACCTTATCCAAATCATTCATTTTATATTCAGTTTGATACCATTTTTCGCGAACATTCCCAGTTCTGTTAGCAAAATTTTGCGATACAACAGCATATAACATATTTTCAGGATTTAAAAGGTCCAAAAGCGAAGAGATCAACTCTGAAATAAAAATATATAAATATAAATATATAAATATTGACAATTAATTGGCTTGAAAAAGCAATTTCACTTGGCTTAAATTGATCCATTTTATAATTTGAACAAACAACATCTTCAAACGGTATTCGCTGCAGCTCAGATGATAAATAAGTTGTGTAATTGATTGGTGTTTCTCTATCCTTAAAATATACAAAAAAACGATTTTTAACAGAGAATTATCCGATAAAATCTTTATTTCACAAAATAGGACAAGGATATCTGATTCTAAGTTTATTATGAAATAGGCAAGGTATAGGGCCAACAGATATGATTCTAATAAATTCGATGGAATATTCATTTTTAAGAATTAATATGGATAATTCTAATTCAAAACGATTATAAACTTCTATTACATCCATTATATCAAAAATCAAAGAAATTGCTATAAATCGAAACCTTAAATCTGAATTTTATTTGTGCCAACTGTTTCAATTCCTCATGGATCCACTTTAAAGGACCGGCCCTTTTAATTAAACCAATTTCATGAAATATTTGTTGAATAATATCTTCACAGTGTGAGAGGCCATCTGAAATACTGTTAAGTAATGATCATCTGAAATCTGTAAAAATAAATAGGTAAAATCAGTAAAAATCTGATCTTAAAACCGTTTAAAATTGACCAAGTATACCTTCACTTAGGTCCACGGAAATATGGAAAAGTTCGCATCCTCTAGCTAATTGGCGATTTCCAGCAGACAAAGAACTCACCCATCCTTTGCGTTTTAATTCAGATAAAAGAGATCCTGGCCCTTCGTGACCAATAAGATGGGCTGTTAATAAAATCCATTAAAAGCAAAAAAAAACTGAAAACATACATAAAACAACTGAATTAAACTTTATTTTTCCGATGAAAAAATTGTTTTACCACAAAAATTTAGAAGAAAAAGTTCAATAAAAACAAAGAACTTGAAAAAACCAAATTATTAGAACTTAAAAAAATTCCAATATTTGTAATACACTCACATAAATAATGGCACGGCTGCGCTCGATATTCATCCTTATAATCAGGAATCGGGAAAATAATTGAAAGGTATCTAAGATCTTTTATTGGAACAACCTGGAAATAAAGACCAAAACTAAAAAAAAACTGTGACTTCACATTCAATATTCGAAAAAGCCATTAAATATGGGCAAAATCAAAACCAATTAAGTAATCCACCTCAATTTTTTTCGCTAGCTCATTCTTTCCATATGGGCTCTCAGTCCATGTTCTTCGTTCAAGATTCTTTCGTTTAATGTTGCCAAACCCCAATTCAATTATCATATTTTCAAGTTCTTCCAGTGTTTCACGTCCAATAACACACAGCGACATTCTAAATTTCTATGAAATAACTGGAAAAAACTAGTTTTCGCATTAGAAAAAATGGTTTCATAGATTTTAAAAATTTTTTGTTTTCATATCAACAAAGATGTAAAGATAGGGAGTTGTAAACTGAGGAACTAAATGGATAAAAACTTCTTTTCCCAACATATTGCCAAACATCTCGACAAAATTTGAATGAATTTTAAATTATGCGTTTATAATGATTTTATAATGATTATGCGTTTTACAGGAAAGATATAGCCATTTCTTTCAGCGTTTGGAACCGCAAATTTCATTTGTACTGATTTGGAAACACTTAAGTTTGCGTTTTTCTAAGCCACCAAACCGACCAATTTAAAGAGAAGTTTTTTGGAAATTTGAGGCTCTCTGGAACTCTGACGCTTTTTTTAAATCCACTAATAAACTCACAAAAAACTAACATATCTGATGAATAATAATCATTATAAAATTTCAGCAATGCAGAACGCGGTTCGATTCCTTTCGCTCGTGCATCTTCCAGAAGCGTCTTCCTATTCCCAGTTCCAAACTTTCCATAGTCATGGCTTGCTTTTGATAGTGACCTAAATTTAAAAGGTTGAACTTTTTTTGCAACAAACCTGAAGCTGACAGAAATGAAAAAAAAGTAAGCAAAATTTGTTAAGATAAAGATGACTTATTTAAACGGATAAAGCTGTAGCCCTAATTAACTATAACCTTTCTAATTGTAGAATGCGCCAACTATCATTTTGTAAATTATTGGAATTTTCCGAATCTATTGCATAAACTTCTCGTTCAGTTGCACTCTCTGTAAATTGGGGAGAGAGGAAAAATTGCGCGAACCGATCCAACGCTCCCTAAAGAAATATAAGAGAAACAATATGCAGCTATAAACTGAGCTGAATTATTTATAAATCTACTTAAAAGCATATTTTTTGAGAAATGATTAAAAATAAAAGTCCCAACACTTAAGTAATCTGGTGCAACATCAAAATGATAATTAGTATGATCGGATGAAGTGAAAGCATTCGACAGACCACCGTGATTAGAAATAAATTTGAAATACTCATTTTCACTAGGATATTTATCAGTTCCCAGAAAAAGCATGTGCTCACAAAAATGAGCTAATCCAGGCAATTCCCAAGGATCCATCATATAACCTGGAAAATAAAAATTCATTCTGAAAAATGAATGAGAAAATCAAAGCGATTTGCGAGCAATTTCATTTACTTTAAAATCATATAAAATAAATAAAAATCACGATCAAATGATAACCTGGCGCATAGAAATAAAAAATATTAGAAAAAAAATTGAAAAAAATTGAAAAATTGAACTTACCAACATTTACGTCCAAAGAAGCAGCACTTTTGTCTGTCGTTGAATCAGATATTAATAAAGCACGAAGGCCATTGTTAAAAATAAGCCCACGATACTATAAATATTGTTTAATTCATATTTCAATGATAATTGTTTAAAGATAAAAAAAAAAATTTTGCGAATGTAAAACTCCAAAAATGATAAATTAATTTTTATAAAATTTGTCATAAGTTTTGTAAAATTTTCTGCACTAATTTCATGAAATAAAATCAATTTATTGAAAGAAAAAAAAAAATTTGCGAAAGAGATAATTTTACTAATTTTAATTTTACAATGACTAACCAATCGTTTATCCTCTAATGATTTGATGATATTATCAAATCGCTTTTGCACTACATTTTGTGAATTTAATGACATTTTTGAAGAAAATGAATTACGACAAATTTGCGTAAAACTAAAATTTTCGTAAATTATTTTTAATCATAGCAATTTATAATCAGCTTTTTTTTCGGAGCACAATAGATTAGATTAGAATTACACATTCGCAAATTATGAATCAACTTGTGTTAGTTTAAGCAAGAATTGACGTAAAAAACATTCGTAAACGGAAGAAACTTTTGTATGCTATTGTTTAGTAAAAATCTGAACGATATATATTTTAACCCGATTCATAAAAAAATAAAGTACTGATGCTTTTCTCTAAACTGCACCACGCTGCCATCGTTTTATTGAATTTCTGTTCCATTTCACTTGCATTCATTTGCCATGCAAGTAAATAATCGTTTGCCACATTTGGTCAAATATTTTGATCAAATACCATGCATATTAGATGCATCTGTTATATACGAATTTACTAGAAATTTTTAATGAAGCTGACCAAAAACTTTTTGATTTTATCGATAAGAATCTGCGAATGAAGAACATCAGATAAAGAGACAACGATAACCCTCTCGGCGATCGAATAATTCCACTGCTTACTTGTTTCTTTCTTTTTTTCTTACCGAATTAACAACTGTTGAACTGAAATTTAAACAAAAAAATAATGATTCGTATAAAAAATCCAATTTTAGAAATATTTGCAAATTCGAGAAATATTTATTAAAAAATATGCAAAATAAAGTATTATTTAAAGTATTTTTTAAAGAAAAATAAAAACAAAACAAAAACAGAAAAAAAATATATGAAATTTATTTGAGAAGAATGTAAAACATTTTGAAAAATTCGTAAAAAAAAAAAATGAGAAAAAATTAAAATTAGACTATAAATATAAGGAAAAAAAAAATGGAGCAAATTCGTACGAACCAACGAAATTTATACGAAAATGTTAGAATGGCGCTCAATGGTGACTTGTTAATCTCATTTCGAAGAGCCGACGTTGCTATACAGGTAAATTCACCTATATTTTAATCACCAAATAATTCCTCTGGACGCAAAATTTGCACAAATTCGATAAGCCAATAAAATGTGCCAAACCGGAAATGGTGAGCGCTTTTAGACAAAAAAAAAAAATCGGAATAGATTATCGAAATAATTAGTGAAAAAAAACTTTCGTATAAACTATAGTTTTAACAAAATTTATTCGATAAATAAGGAATTTTCCAATAAATCAATAAAAAATTATGAAAAAATCCGTTCCATAAATTCGTTCTTCAATACTCACCAATCAATTACACGCAATAAACCAATGACTAACGAAATAGAACCAAAATTTTCCCAAAAAAAAAAAAAAAATCTAACAAGAATTCGTCGAACACCAAATCTGCAAATTAGATTCGCTATCACTAATTGTCAGGCGATTTAATAATTTCTATTGTAGATTGACTGGAAATAGGATTAATGGAACTTTTTAAATATATAAACGTGTAAACATCAAAATAGTAAATGTTTACTTTGTAAAAATATAAAAAATAATATAAAATTAGAAGAAAAATTACTTGAAATTCATGAAATTTAATCAAAATTTTTGTAAAGAATTTTTATAATTTTAATTGCTTTTTTTTTAAAAATTAAAAAGAATGATTTTAATTTTTTGGATTTTTTCTTTTTTCAAATCTCTCAAATAATCGTTTTTTATTTTATTTTTAATTTTGTATTTATATTTTATAATAAAATTAAGCTTAGTTACAAATAAATAAAATAAATATTTTTCCATTATTTCTAATAATTACAGTAATATTCAATTATAAATTTTTTTTTTTTTTTAATTTCAAAAATTACTAAAATAATTTAAATTTTTAAAGTTTTATTCATAAAAATTTTGGAATTTCTGCTGAGAAAAGAGACGAGAATTATATGCGTCGTTATGGATTGAGTTTTGTACGGAATTTGATACCGTAGTGATTGACCAATAGGAGTTTCGACGTTGAAACGCCTTGCACAAAATTACATTTAACCAATAAATCGTTTTACTGATTTTTTTTTCTTTTTTTAAATCAAAATATTCAAAATAAAGAAATATTAATAAAAATAGATTTTTTATTAAAGGAAAGAAAAGTCTTCTTTTTTTTTTTCTGATTTCCCTCATTTTTACCGTTCACGCTGATCTTATCAGAATTTAGAGAATTTTGTGAGAGTCATTTGCCTTAAGTAGTAAAAGTTTAGAGAATTATTGAGGTTGTCCGCATCGACCGAGTTTTTGAAAGACACATTTACCGCTAAGTGGCGTAAAACTCTAACAATGGTACTCCAAAATATAAGCGGCGATGCACTAAGCCATTCTAGCGAATTTTTTATTATCGATAAAAAGAAAAGGCTAATTTTTGTTTTAAATTTAATTTAATTTATAAATGCAAGCAATTCTGTTTATAGTGAAACTTTTCAAAAAAAAAATCAATTTATTTCACATGTAAAAATGAAATTTATTCAAAGAGGTATTTTTCAAAGAAATAATAAAAATATAAAAAAATCTTTTATAACAAATTTTCTTAAGTTTCCTTAAAAATTTTCATTCTCTATTTAAAAAAATTTTGTTTTTGATTTTAAGAAAAATTAAAAAGAATCGATGTTTTATAGATTGAGGAAATATCGACATTTGAAATTTTGGATTTTTCTTTCTAAACACGAAAACAAATAAATTTCAGGAAAGGCTTGAAATGTGCTTTTAAAGAGCTTTTTAATAATAATTCATTAATTAATTCATTAAAAATGAAAATGAATAAAAGAAATAATGAAAAGACAAATCAGATCACTACGCTGATAAAGCTGAAAAGATTTCTGACATGATTTTTTCACTATTGATGAATTAAAAAAAAATTGAAAAATTTTTTTTTACGAATTTTTCTTCATCAATTAATTTCATATTATTTCATAAATGCTTAAGTCAGATAAATCAAATAAATCTTCAGCTTTTGTAAAATTCCGTAAAGAGAACGATAATCAACGGGAAAATGAACAAAAATTTCGATGATATGAAATGCGCTGAATTGCAAGCGTCCATGTAACAGCAACACGTTTCTGACATCGACGTATTCGTACACCCCGCTCCATTAGGTGATCCCTTAAAAATTTACACTCGCTTCATTTTGATTTTAAATAATAGTTGTTCAATTTTTAGTTTTAATCAGCAGATATGTAAATAATTTTCTAATTCAATGCAGAAACCAAGAATCTTAGAAAGTTTTTAAATTTTGATAAAATTGTCACATTTACCAAACTTTTTATCATTTCATCTAATTCTTAGTTTTAAATGAATTTAGTCGTATTTCAATCGTTCTATCAAGAATCACCGGCCTTTTATTATTTCAGCATTATGGAGATCAAATGACCTTAAATTAATAAATCTCTTACCATGGAGCAGTTTTGGACCTGGCACTGGCGATTAACCATGAACTGATCCGTCGTTTTCAGGCAACTCCAGTAATATGGACCACAGTCTTTCAAAATTGGTAAAATGGAGCTATTAGTGCGAGGAACAGCTCCCTAAAGTAAAGTAATATTCAACAAAAGTATAATTATGTGCCATCGAATGAATATGGAAAAAACGGTTATACCTTATTGTACAAACTCCACTTTAGGATCTCTGGATAAACTTGTCGCGAAAATTAAAATCGGTCAAACAAAATATTTGTTTTACTCAAAAAGTAAAAACTTGCGCACCACTACATAAAATGCTTCCGAGCTTGGTTATGAAAATAACAGTCAGTAATGAGTAAATTAGAAAGTTTGGATTAGGTTTTAATATTGTTTTATTGCCTTTTACTTAATCAATTTTTCTTTCATGCATTACAACTCAATGTCACACGCTATAATTTATCTTTCAATTTCTCCCACTTTATGAGTAGTAGGAAAGAATTAATTCGAAAACATACCTGTATATATGAAAAGTTCACTTTCGTCTATGCTTTCAGTTTTCTTAATTTCTTGAAGTTAAAGTGTTTCAAATCGTATTACTGCTATATGTTTTTTTACGCGTTAGTTGAATATGATAAACTATTTATTGCATGTTCCATGATCACATTCACTAACCTGATAACATTTGATAGCGTAGATAATTTCGATAATTGAAAAAAATGTTGTTGCGATCGAAAAAACTTTTAAATACATTGAATTCACTGAAACAATTGCTGAAATTTCATAAGAAATATTAAAAACAGATAAAACGATTGTACATTTAACATTAAAGCAACGTGAAAAATTAAGGTTACTTTTATTCTTTTCACGATTCTATATGAAAGAGTTACTGCCTGTCTTAGGTTCCATTCCAGTACAGCAAGGAAATACATAATTTAAAGAATGTCTGCAAGGCAAAGAATAGTCGTTTCAAGTATAATCGTTTTTGATCTAATTTTAAACCTAATTTATTATTCATTTTGGTCTCGGACGCCAGTCTTTTTTAAAATCAGTGTAGTTACTGTTATTGGATTATTAGATAAAGAGTTTACCATAATCTTGAAGTGTAGTGTTAAATAATCTTTGCTTATTGCTAAGTTTTAAATCAGAGCCATTCTAAAAAATGCAAAATGAGAATAAATTAGCTTCAAGTTAGAGGACCAAGACAATCTGGCATAGAAAGAGCTACAACATTCGAGCTCCCAGATTTCTGGTAGAGTCCCAAATATTGGAACAATCCTATGGCATCCTCGTAAAAATATTTTACAATGTTGAAATAGCATTTATAATCGCAATTAATCATAAAATTAATGGAGATTCATAAGAATTATTTTTGAGGACTTTTACAAGAGAAGATAAAATTATAATTATAATACATAGCTTGAACACATAATAACAATAATAATAAATAATAATAAATTATCGGATAATCATTATTTGAATGGCTATTAAAAGTTTTAATCTGCTTCTCGCAAACATTTCTTTGAATTCGCTTATTAGCTCATTTGTAAATATTTCATTTAAAGATAGGAGAGTTAGCTAAGCTTCCATTCGAAAAAGATAAGTCATCAACTACAAAATTTTTACCACTGGTGGGTAATTTGTTAAAAACTTTTCCGAGAATATTTTACAAGCTATTGGTTATAAATTAAATTATATAGTTAGTATTAGTCGTAGATACGGTTAACTATGGCTGATGAAAGCAAAGAAAAAAATTTCCGAATAAGTTGGATAAATTGGCATATGGCATATGACCATCCAATTACGATGCCTCATTTCGGATGAACAACTTATTTTTTAATGCAATATTAAATATTGTATAACATGCTTTTGACAAACATAATGAAAAAAAAAAAGTATAGAAATTAATCGAGAACAGAATCATGAGATGAACTAAATCATGCATAAGTTAGGCCAATACTTACGACACATAAAACTTTGACGAAAATTTCTTCTGGAAAAATTTTCTAATGCTTATCCTAAGAAAATAATGAACATATGAATGAAAGCCTCGATTTGCAAAAAGTTTTCTCTAAATCTCTATAAATGATAATCAACATATTTCAAGGCTTTTATTTGTTAAATATGTATCATTCAAGAGACTATTTTCCATAATTTTTATTTTTTAGCAAACGACGAGAATAGATTGCAATATAATAAAATAGAAACAATCAAAGAATCCATACGAAATTTTTTCGAAACAAAAAAAATCCAAAACTACCACAACAATATGAAATATTGAAAATAGGCTAAAAGAAGAAGGTTTGCCACTCGCCCGTATTTTATTCTTATTAACTTATAATCAATCATCGAGTAAAATCTAATTTAATGTTTCCATGGTAATTTAAGAATTCATTTAAATAGATACTACATTTTTCATGAAGACAATTAAAATACAATGAACAAATATTAATTGAATAATTTTTTAATATTTATTTTTCTCAAAAAAATTAAAACAAAGATTGCATAGTTTCAAGTATTTCACTAATTTTAAAAATTAAATTATCTTATTAACTTTAAACTAACCAATTTACTTATTTGCCGTTTTATTTTCTAATTTTTTTTTTGACAAGTACGCATTATTTGTGATTGGATTGGTTTCATTATTCAAAAACATTTACATGATTCTTTCAAGCGTTAGAGGTAAATCAATTGCCGCTTGGATTATAATAAAACAGATTTGCCTTCGTCAAATGAAATTATTTTTTAAAAACCTAGAGATTTTTTTCTAGCCTATTGACTTATAAAGCCGTATCACACCTGAAGGCAACTCGATCATTTCGATTAGTTTCAGATCAAATAATTTTTCCTCATAAAAAAGTTCTTTTTCAATTATTAGTCCTTATTTAATCATTACCTTCCTTAGTCAATAATTTTTAAGACTTTTTATCCTAATTATTTTTTTTTTTTTAATTACCTTTTACTTTTTCGCCAATTATTTCGCCAATTTTGTTTACGAATATGGAACTGATTAGAGATTAGATTAGCAGAATACTTGTGATGATATTTAATCAGTAAGTATTTATTTTCTATTTTTTATGTATTGGTGGCTTTTACTAACTCAGATATGAATAATAATGGACAATTTATATTTTAGGAAATGCATTAGGTTCTGGAATTCGTGAGATTTTCAAAGAGACAATAGACCTCATAGGGCCAGAGGGGCTAATGCCAAATATTTAAAGTCCCACATAAATTTTAGATTGAACTAATGGAAAAATAATGTCACATCTGTGTTCTACATTTGAATCAATATTTTCAACTATTCCCCGTTCTTATTTAGTTTAAGAGAGTTTGCGAGTTTTTATCATATAAAGGATTTTTTAAAGGAAAATAAGGAATATATCAGAACAATTTGTTTTTTATTTTAAACAATCCTCATCATTACTGGTTAAAATCGCTCCACTGGCAATTGTGCAATATGCCAGGGAGCCCCTCGGCGATAGAAATACAGATGATGAGTCACCAGCATCATCCGGAACAATTCGTGAATGATAATGAATAGTATTGCAACAGGTGAGGTAAAGTCATTCCATTTAAAATTATGAATAAATATTATATTATTTTAATAATTTATGCAAAATGAAAATTTCGCAAATTTTTAACATCTCAATTGAAAATTTGATTTTTTTTTATCAATTGATATGAAATAAAGTGAAAAATCTTAACGAATAACAAAAATTGGTCATTGAGAGGTCATTGAGGAAGGATGCCTCTTTTCTAGAGGATCGACGTAAGGAAAAGATTAGATTAAAAGATTAATTAAAGATTAAAGATTAGATTCCTCTACTAGAAAAATGAAATTTTTCAAATAAAAGGGAATATTATTATTACATTTTTTTTTTTAATAGTCCTCACCATTACTGGTTAAACTCGCTCCACTGGCTTGTCGCATTGGACAAATATGGCAAGGAGTCTCTTGGCGATAGAAGTGCAGGTGAGTCACCAGCATCACCCGGATTTTTGTACAGGTTTACTCCTGGGGGAATCGAACCTCAGCATCGGCGCTCCCAATTGAGCAACAACTCACTGAGTCATTCTATCCCCTATTATTATTACATTATCATTACCATATTTATCAGAGTAGAGTGCACAATACATTATACGCTCGATGGCTCAGAATTTTCTTCTCGATTTAGCACATCTTTGAAATCGCGTCTTCTTTTTTATCTCAGTGCACTTTCCAATATAAATTATGTTCATAAATTTCCAACAATCCAAGGTTTTTCTTAAATGCCTTTTACTCTTTCCATTGATTCCTGGTAACTTAACAATACGAGAAAACTTGCGATAGATTTTTCTATATCGAAATAATTTTAAAACGATTAATAAAATTGCTAAAAGATTTGCTTCGTTCATTGGAAAAATTGGAAAATCAAAAATTTGCTTAAATATCGATATTAAATATAAAAAATTTAAGTTTTCACAAATGAATAGACGAATGATTTTTTCATTTATGTAACAACATCAATTCATGTTGCCATGACATTTATAATTAAATGATTTAGTATATTCGAAGTAAATTATATTTATAAGGATACAAAAGATGCAATTATCTAGAATTGTCTATTTATGAGAGATATATATGAAGTGTAAAAAATATAATTGACGACCGACAAAAACGAAGAAGTTTCAGGAGTTTCATTCAATTGTTGTAAATCATTTCTTTCTAAAATTTTAGAATCAAATAATTATGGATCTTCCAGATTTTTCCATCGGTAAAACTTTGCCACGAATTCTAATCCAATTATCTACACTTATTTTGTTCATTGCAAAAATTAGCTCAAAAATCAATATTAAAATAATAAAAATCATAAATTTTTATCGAAAATTCTAAATTTAAACGAAAAAATGAGAAATTGTATTTTAATTCTATGAAATATGCACTGCAAGAGATAATATATCCAATATCAGTTTTAGGTAACTGAGAACTTTTTCCGACAAAATATTTCAATTTTTCAAAGGGAACTTTATTATTTAAGAAGTTTTGATTATCCAATTATTCCAAATTGAATTGGAAATTATTAAGGAAAAAAAATTTCATGAAATTTTCACAGGTGTAGTAATTTTAATAATTTTATAAACGAATAATTTTATAAAGGAATTCAATTTGCTTGCGAATTACATTTTATGGATCACTAAAAACTATTCACAAATGAGCAGCAAAAGCCAGAGTTTGTTGATTTAGAATCCTTTGGTAGTCCATAGACTCATTTAGGTGGAAAAAAAATTCATACTTTTTTTTCAATCTTCTCTGACCTTTCATTTAAGAATATAGAATAAACGAATCACAGTCGAAATTTAGACGAAGTTTATTTCTTTCTTCCAAATTTCATCAAATTATTATTATAGAAAACTGATTGCCCATGAAAAAAATGATATTTAAGCTAATTTTTGATTTTTCAATTTTTGCTATTTCAGCCTAATTCCACTCCAAAAATGTTGAAATTGGTTCAATAATTTTTATTCAAACTTTTATAAGTTTCGTTATAGACATGGAATGAATAATTTTGGAATATTTGCTTAAAATCACGCATGATTATGATCTAAATTTAAAACTGGATCATTCGGCTGAATTTGTTTGCAATATTGCAACAGAATTCGCTGATAATATTCTCGAGGTGTCAATGTGCGTGCAGTGCTACATTTACTAGTATTTAAATCAAGGGATTCCATGCTGGCCAATATTCTCTCTGAGACAAATGATAATGTTCTGGGATGCTCGATCCATTTAAAATAATAAATATCGGGAGGTACATAAGGTCTTTCACCTGAAATAGAAGAATAAATTATATTATATACATGATTAATAATATTTTTGTCGAAGACACATAGCAAATAAATCAGATGTCAGAGGTGAATTTCGTAAAGATGCCGTTAATGTTTCGTTGAAAGAGGTCAATGTAGCATTCTTTATTACTCTTTGTTGTATTATTATATTTTTTTTAATATTTTTTGTATGTTTCTCTCATGGAGTAAAATTACCAATCCACTTCAAGTCCGGTTGCTTTCCATTGATCATACAATCCAATAAATATTCTTCTGGCAAATGAGCCAATTGATCAATTTGGTCAGCTGTTAGGCCATAATTTTTTTGCAAGAATGCAATATAACCAAATACCTAAAAATGCCAAAAAAACTTTAAAAATTTCTCAAATTTGTCAGGAAATGTTGTTTCTTTAAATAAGCTTTACGTTTTATTTATATATTATCTATCAATGAAAATACTCTATTATAGTGGCAATAAATGCTGTAGAGTATTGCTATATGAAAAAAACTCTAGCAAGTTTACAAGATTATACGCTTTATAAGACTTTAAGTTAGTGAAATGATTAATAGCTTAAAAAAACTAGAAAAATTCAAATCAAGACTGCAAAATTTGAGGATCAAAAAATGAGGTTTTTTTTCATGCCCGTGGATGCAAGATTGTTTCTCGAAAAAAATGAACGTACCTCTCCCAACTGTACTACTTTACCCCCAATTGTCATGAAACTTCTTCCTAAGCTTCTACCATAGAAGTGTATATCTCGAATATATTCACTGCCGACCAGGTCTGAAATATGGAAGAGCTTCGAAATGGTTTAAAAAATATGCTCTAAATTTCCTTTTTTGAAGAAATTCATTGAACCTAACTGGGAAAATAAAAAAGAAAATAAAAGGCATAATGAAGTGGAAAGACGGATTTGAATCGCTACTAAATATTATGAAAAAATGAAAATTATGAAACATAATTGCAATGGATATGGATGAACCAGCAGCAATTGTTTAAAGAAATTTCAAGCGCATAGGAAAAAATATAAACTTTAATTCTAAGAAATGTTGGTCGTTGTATTTGGCATTATTAGAAAAGATTTGTATAAAATCGCATAACAAATCAGATTGAAAAAAAAAGAAAGAAAAAATTCTAATATTTTTTGTAATTCAGAAGTTCAGCACTCACCAATGCACATTGTTGTTATGATAAGGCCAATAACAATATAGGCAAGTGTTGCAGGTAAAAAATCAGCATTCTGTGGAACAATGTCGCCAAAGCCTGAACTGCACTTGTGCCGTTAATGATCTTTTTCAAAAATTTTGGTTTTAACTTAATTATGCCATTTGAAAATATGAAAACATTAATTTATAGTTCCCATGCATATGTGCGATACAGTTTAAAAGTTTTTTTCGAGCCAATCCGCTCCTTATCAACGAGAAAGTTTATTTTCTTTATATTAGCATATGTTTTAAGGCTAATTAGAAGAATGACTTTGGAAAAAATATGTTTTAATATAAATACTTTTTAATACTTATCAGATTGTCTATAATACCTATTGTCGTGACTGTGACGAAGCAAAAATAGAAAGACTCCATGAAATTCCATTTTTCCCAAAGTTGCATTAAAAAAGCTCCGCCAGCTGTATAGCCTGAAATAGAATTTTTAAATTATATTCAATAAAATGGGCAGCAATTTCAATTAAAGTTAAAAAATATTCCAACTTATTGTTGGCATTTCTTGCATATTATGTGAAAAGAAATATCTTTTAAAATATTGGCACCTTGGATTTCACTTCGACTTATACATGAAATTTAGCGGTTAAGTGGGAAAAATAATAAAGAACTTAGAAATATTGAAGATTGGCTTTGCCTTATTTGTTTTATAGTACCAATAAATAGACTAACCTATCATGATAACAAGAACGAATATTACGGAAATCCTTCGCTCATGTTGCATTGCAGTATATTCATCTTCTAATTCATCGGCTCTTGCTTTTGTGTCATCAGAAAATGTTTTCTCACTTTCTTGAGTATGAATTTCGGATATATCTGCAAATATTGTTATAAATGAGCAGAAGAGCCGAGTGATTGCAAATTATCATATCAAGTATCCCAGTTCGGCTTTTGGTTCCGGCTGAAATAAACCTGTCTTTGTGTGATATTAAGGAACAATTTGTATTTTTGACCAAATGAGTTCCTCTAACTACTAGTGCAGGCTCAACTAGAAATTGTGAGTTCTAACCACTTATTTACTTATTGCTATAAGTAATTACTAATTGATTTCGTAAATTGATAGAATTCTCGAAATAAAATCGGTTATAAAAGGTAAAAAGAAGTACAGTTCCATAAAAAGACCTTCGAAAGTTCCAGCATCTGATATATTATCAACATGATTTATTCGCTTCCTTTTCACTAATTGATTTTGAATTGAATACTCTATGCCTGCCAATGTCTTATGATCCTTTTTCCTAAATATTTCTTCTCGCTACTAAAATTTTTTCAAAAACGATAAAAATAACCATTTTGCCTAATAATAATGAAAAAACATCTGCTTGGAAAGCACTAAAAATTTCTATGTTTAACTAAATTGAACTAAGTTGAATTCAAGAGAAATTTTTCTGGCAATTCTCAATAAATTATTGAATTAATTACTTGAATGGCATCCATCTGCAACATTTTATACAAAATTGTGAAAATTTTTTCAATAATACGATTCGAATTTTCCTCAATGTATTGTGAAACCAAATAATTCCACCTGTAAAATGATTTATTTACATATTCATTCCTAATAAATTGAAAAAGTCAAAATGTAGAGCTTTTTTGAAATATGGCGATACGGAATACTGTTTCGATTCTGATAAAGCTGATTGGGCATTAAAAATTACCTGATAAAAATCGACCCATATCAGCTATAGTAACAAGAATCAACGGAATACCGAGTAAAGCGTACAAAAGACATGCAACACGTCCTTCACTCGTTCGTGGAACAATATGTCCATAACCTATAAATTCACTGAATTCAAATGAAAAAATAAAATAAAATTATGAAGCTTAAATTACAGTGGCTTACCGATAGTAGTTATTGCAGTCCAGGAAAAAAATATGCTGGATCCAAAGGACCATTTGATTGGACCAACACCCTTGATTATATCATCAGGTGTCATATAATTTTTCGTATAGTCAATAAATACATCTCTTATCACATCATTCATACTGAATCACATATATTAAGTAATCAACTTTGGGAAAAAATTCAAAAGATTTTGAAAAAAAATTAACTTAAACATTAGACTTTTTCAAATTGTCTTGATACAGTGTAGGTAAATGGAGTAAGCGAATTAAGTGCTTTCAAAGTGACTTTTATCGAAAATACTTACCCCATATGGGCTACATTAGACCAATTAGAAAATGATATATGATCGTTGATCAATAAATTATCACTACTTTCGTTCCGTTCATGAATTAACTCCCACAAATTATCAATTATTCGCTGTTTTAAGGCATCGATACGATGCGCAGTTTCATTACGTATACGTATTTCAAAAGGCATTTCGAACTGAAATAATGTTTTCGAAGCTTCAAATAATGTAAATTTCAAATAAATTATATTGCTGCCAGGAATTTCGTTTATGGCTTAAAACTGAGAAGTACAGAAATGCCTCCGCGGTTTTAACTAGTGAAGCCAGCAAAAATATTGTGCCATGAAAAAAGGAAAGGCTGTTATAAGTGGATAATTAAATGGATAAATGGAAAAATACTGGTCCAACTGACAATTGAGGACTATTTTCTACCTTTTTTTGGTTTTGTTTCATTTTTATTATTGCCTCTAGCTCAAAAATATGGCTATAAACCCTAATGTTTGGCGAAAATAAATAAATAAATAGAGAAAAGTCTAATATTTGCTTGAATAGAATGATTAATGATTAGTGCCAAACTGGTGGTTATCATTATCAGATATCTATAAATATTTCTTATTTTAAATATTTTTATTTTATAAATAATGGAAATAAGTAAACAAAAAAAAAATACAAAGTAAAGTAAACAACATTCTTCATGATTTAAGGCAAATCCATGAATCTTTAAAAAGTTTTGCTAAATTTTCTTTGATGTTCTAGTTAGATCTTAGATCTTGCTTTTCGTTACAAATATTGAAGATATTTTGAATAAGATTGCAACTCGACGACTTACATGATGAAATATAGCTGCTCCCAATAGAGTATAGGCGGTTGATATAATGATTAGGCAAATATGAGGTAGTGCTATTCGTAAATTCTGCAATATAAACTTTCACAAGATTGTTCTCCTTCCTCATAAAATAATTTAATTAATACCATTCGAGAATTGTTTATATGAAAGTTTCAAGAATAAAAAATTATTGAAAAATTAAGCAGAGAACATTTGATAGAACAGTAATTTTTTCCTTTTTTTGTCTCTAATTAGGCACTTTGGCCTAAACAAGGTTTCCTTGAAGAGTCACTTGGTGATAGAAGTACAGGTGGGTAAATTTATCAACGCCATTCGGATCTTTTGAAAATTTGGCTCATACTGAAAGCAGATCTTCAGTATCGGCTTTCCGAAACGAGAGCAACAACTCATTGAGCCATTCTATCTCTAATAAAGGGAATTTAATCTATTTATTTCATTTTAGCAGAAAATATTTATAATTTTTATCTTTATTAAATTTGTTTGTAAACTTTTTAACCAAAAGCCAAATATTAAATTCTCTTTTTTTTGATTTTATGTCGTTGACATTTTGAGAATTTTTGAGAAATAAGGAGGAAAATTCGAGCATGAGAAACGCTTTTAGTTGAGATGCGTAATTCCCTTGAGCAATGGCCATATTCTTCACAGTATTACCATTGTGATATGTGCTTAATATCATGATTAGTCCCTAACAATCACTTCTAAATTGCACTCTTTCTTGATATATTGTTGAATTTTTTAGCTTCATTCCTGATTGCACTCTCTTATCTATTCTATCAATTATCAAACAATCAGGAAGTTTCTTGAAGTTTCATTAAATGTGCAAAAAAAAATGATTTTCAGTGCCAAATAAAATAGAACTCGCTTCAATAATGGGAACTGCTCTATCTAAATCGTCGTATTTCTACCGGCAAGCAACTCCCTTATTATAAAAATTATGCTAAGCTATTATGATAATTGATATAAATATGCAGACAATCTGGATTAATTTGAAAATTGATTTGAAAATGCGTCATCTAAAATTAGACAAATTATTGTATTTTTGAATTTTTAAAGATTTCTAGTGGTTCAAAAGTAATTTAATGGCCGATGAACATTAAAATATCAAAAATTACAATGAAAGATGGTCATGGTTATTTTATTTATTTGCATGTGAAATGCCAACAAAAGTTGCAAAAAATAAATTATGCTGAATTAATTAAGCAAAATTTGACAATTGTAGGCATAAACTTACTCGGCGAAATATTTGCATTCTCGTTGGAATTTGAAACTGCACCTGCGGTTCCTCCGCAATTTGTTCCAAAACACCTGTTTCGCCATTGTGTCGACCCAGAAAGAGATTCAACCGCTCAGCACTAAATCAGCTATTGTTTAAATCAACGAGGATCGATAAGATTTCGATGAAGACTTCGCTAATAGGACATCTTTAAAAATCTCTTCAGTTCCGTTTTCATAATTTTTCAATGGAATTTTATATGTCTTTTTTTTCCAATTTTTTTTTCTGTGCAATAAATGAGCGATAAAATTATTGCAATGATTTATTAACTATCAAAAAAAAAAAAGATAATTTTGCAATATGGTTTTTCATATAAAATATATATTTCAATATATTCTTTTGTATTTTTAATTAATCATTTTTTTATCAAAATTATAGTTAAAATTCATAGATTAATTAAAGTTTAAGGAATTTAAAAGTAGTTTTTAGCAATTATTTTAAAACCACTTATGCTCATTTTTCATCCGATCGTTCTTCATTTAGAAAACAATTGCTAGTTTTCTCGAAGAAAATTGCTCGAAATAAAGACAAGCTATGACTAAGATAAGTTAAATTTTCACTAAGATAGTTAAATTTTCATAAATACTGCTTCATATGAAATCTAATTTGCTAATAAAGAGGTGTTGAATAATATTTGAAGTTATCGTCACAGTTGGAAGATCTAAATCATCGATAAGCTAATTCTCGAGAGTATTCATAAATAATTCAGTTATAAATAACATTACCAAAAAACTATCAGATGCAAACATTTAAAATTCAAAAATATTTCCAATGGTCAGTAAATCCCTTTGGTACTTGGAAATTTTAAAAAAAAGTAGTACGAGTTCAAAATTTCATTTTTTGACGTTTTAACGTAAAAAGTTCATCAAGTCGTTTCATAAATTTGGTTCAATAAAACAAAAATAATAGTTGTGAAAATTTTATGAGCCCTATTTTTTGATAAAAAATAAAACCAGAGAAAATGAAATTAAGGTATTTTACAAAATTTTTTAAGCTTAGTTTAAATAAAGTGAAACAAAATAACATTTGTATACCTTAATTTCTCACCTTATGATTCAGTTGGTAAATTCTCTACTGAAGTGATACTTATAATAAACATCTTTATCTTTTCCTTCTAATAACACTTCTGGTTTAACTGACTATTTTTGAGAAGAACATTTCGCCAAAGAATCATATGAGAATAGAGGCACAATTGACTGCTAGGCATCATTCGGATGATTTCATTTTTAATAATAAATTTGCCAAAGAGAAGAAGTCGAACCTATAATATTCGGTTGAATCTCTCTGCCTCGGCTATTACTCGGCTATTCTACCCCTCATGATATATTTCAAGTAAAAAAAATCGAGCATAAATTTAAAATTTAAAAAAAATTTTTCGATAATCCTAAAAGGAAAAAAAAATCGAAATTTTTCTTGAAAATTATTCTCCATGAAATAATATAGAATTATGATTTCTTTGTCTCATTATGAAAACAATCTAATAATTTCTTTTTTATTTATCTAAAATCAATAAAAATAATAAAATAATAAAAAAATATTTTAGATGAAAAGAATTGTTAGTTGATATCGAATTTATTACAACTATTGAATTCATTCATTTCAGTTGATAAATAATAAACAATAAACATGAAAAATCAACTTTTAGTAATTCTATTCACTTTATCAATAAATTATCCATGTGTATTCATTTGAAGTGAATGCATTAGGAATCGAATCCTTCAATGCACCAATTCAAAAATTTACTGCCTTTCAGCTTGTAAAATATAAAACATTTTCATAGAATTTAATTCGTTCAAACAATTTATTCAATTTATTCATTTATTCCATTCTTATGGATATCAATTTAAATAAAATAATAAATTATGATAATCTATTAAAATTATAAATTAACAAGGATTTATGTTATGTAAAAAATGTAAAAGCGTGCAAATTAGTTAGCCATCATTCGAGAATGAAATATTTGATCTAAATGATCAATTGCAAGCTTTTTAATTAATTATTACTTTTATAATTAATCAATTATAAAAAAAAAAATAATATAACAATTGCAGATTAAAGTGTAATAAAGTGATTTAAATATCATAAAATAATAGAAATTATTCTTTAGGAATAGAAGGAAGAATTAAATCACAAAAGCCATAAAATATGCAACTTATTTCACCATTAATAACATAATTAAAATAATTATAATTATAAAAAAATTAAGATAAAATAATAAAGATAAACACATTAAAAATTTAATTAAAATTTAATTAAAATTTATATTTACAAAAGACAAAAATTTCAGTTTGGTCTTTAACGAACTAATTAATCTCTGACTTCTTCTTCTTCTAACACTTCTCACCATTACTGGTTAGGTTGGCTCCAACGGCTACAAGGCTTCCAAGCGGCACGGTCTGATGCCATCGTAATAGAAGCCATTCCTTTTTCCATCGTCTAAATCCATATATTGCTGGTCCAACTATAAGTTCAAGGTCTTTTCTGACCGTATCTGAAATTTTTGTCTTTTGTAAATATAAGTCCGGGTCATGATTGACCCACCTCACTTTTGGCGTTACCTATCAGACGGCTTAGCAAGTAACGAAATATACGTCAACTCCTGTGGTAGACGACGGAGAACGTGCCCTAACCAGCGAAGGAGACACTCTGCGATAACATTATTGATGCAAGTGACATCTGAACGAAGGTGGATGCGATCATGTGATATTTTATCAGCTCGACAGACCCGTAAAATATACCTTAAATAAGAGCGGTCAAAAATAGATACCTTCTTAATATCCTCCCCTCTCATTGGCTTAGAGCCATACAGCAAGATCGAACGAATCACGACTATATAGATGCGGACTTTCGTTTTAATGCTAATTTCACTACGGCTCCAGAAAAGTTTGGTCAACCGGAAGAACGCATTTCTAGCTGCCGTGATAAGGATTTTAATATCGTCTTTTGCCTGGCCATTTGGTATTAGAGTGATATTGATTTGGTATTAGTGTCGGCACTCAAGGTATTTAAAATTGTGCACCATCGGCAATGAATTTATAAAAAGAGGCATTTTATCAGTTTCCTGTGCATAGGACGAAAAGGCATCCGTTTTATTTATTGACCCTGAATTCGACTCTCGCTGCAATTGATGACGCGTTATTTAGCATTATTTCCATTTCTTCATAACTGTCGTAGTCATAAATGCCAGCGAAAAGAACTAAATCATCAGCCTATATATAAGATCTATGATACAATGTTCTGGACTGATTTGGACGCCCTTTGAGTGCCGGCAAGTGGTATCATTACCCAGTCTATCACATAGTTGAATACTGTAGGGGAAAAGACGCATCCTTGACTGACACCAGTTCTTATTTCGAAGCAGTCTGTCAGTTCTCCATATATACAGACCTGCGCCGACGTATGCTCTTAAAATGCCTTTATGAGTCGAATGATTTTCTCTGAAATACTGTCTCATTCCATCACTTTCCAAAGCACCGTTCTATCAGTTGAATCAAAGGCAGCCGCAAAGTCTATGAAACAGGTGATAGTGGGTTGCTGGTATTTGAAGCGATGTTCCTGCATCCTTCTTAACGTGAATATCTGGTCAGCACAACCGCGCCCTCGTCTGAAACCAGCTTAATTAGGGCGCATCCTGCTGTACCGTATTTCCATAAATCTGTTGAATAACAGGGAAGCAAAAATTTTCGCTGAGACGTCTAGTAGGCTGATTTCTCGCTAATTGTCACAATATGTCCTATCACCTTTCTTGAGAATTGGGAGCAGAATTGCTTTGCTCCAATCATCTGGCAATATTTTCTTTTTCCCA